TTACGGGTAAAATTATGGTGAGTTAGATTTAAAGGAGTATTTTTTTTTAGGTGTTCTGTATTGCACATGAATGAACTATATTTTTATGAATAAAACTTGGCAAAAAGTGGTTCGGCTATAATTTTTTGACTACTGTGTGTAGGTGTTCTGACAAACCAGTTCGTAGTTTTTAGCCATTTGAAACTTTTACTCTATTCTAGTAGAATTCAATGGGCTACAAAACTGCATACTCAGAATCTAATTAAAAAACTCGACATTTTTACGAAAATTTGTTGAATTTTTTTTTTTATTGCATACATTTTTAAGGCAGAGGCACTCGATTTGTACATTTGCATAGATTGGTACTTTTTTATATTGGGCTATTGGTACAAAAAAAAAAAAAAAATGGGAAAATATTTTTTTTTGTAGTCAAAAGATTGGTACAATACAGCGATATTCTATTGAAAAATTTCAACAAATTAATTTTCGTGATTGGGATAAAGAAAAATATTTGGGATACGAATTGCACCAAATTTTGTCAAATACCCAATCGTGTGATACTGCCTTTAAACTTGTATTTATATGGATGTTGTTAACGAATGAACTATAAAAAACTAACCAAAATTAAATAACAACCAAAATAATATTTTAAAACTTGTGAAAATTTGGTGCGGCTATAATTTTTTCGACTACTAGTATATTTTAAGACTTCTACCAATATATTTCGGAAAAATATTAAGATTTACGTGAACTGGGCCGGTTTGAAAATACCTCTAAAAATTTATTTTCTTATGAATAAAAATAGTTTCTTAAAGGATTTTTTGGAAAAAAATCACCTCAGATAACAAAACAGTTTAAGCTTAAAAAATCTACATAAAAATATTAAAAAATTGTATCAACGGAATCATAATAATGAGATTTTTGATGCTGTTTTTTAACTTTTTCCAAAAATTTGTGTAAGAAAAACTTGAATAACTACTCCAAAACTTTACCGATATAGACTTATGAGGTATCAGTGGAAAGGTATTTTCTCACCCTTGCAAAAAAACTCTGCAAAAAAACTCATTTACGTCCCAATTTTTTCTTTATTCAATACCAACGCATCTTAATTCAACATGGAATGACACTCGTCTATCTTACCTTCCTCTTTCATACCTTGAATGAGCTTATTCGCAAAGAAATTAAAAGGGTGAGAAAATACCATACCAATGATACCTCATAAGCAGTGTTGCCATTTTAGCCGTTTTCCGGCTAGATTTATCCGGTTGCGATAGCAAACAGCCGGAGAAATTTCGATTTAGACGGCAGCCGATTTGTTAGCCGTTTTGCAGAAAAAAATTTGCCGTTTTTAGCCGATTTTGCTATTTGCCTTGTTTTCTTAAATTTCAAATATGTATACATGTTTCCATTTTTGACTAAGCGACCCAAAATCTGCTGGAAATGGCTACTAGCCTTATGGTGGAGAAAATTTTCATGTCAGGCAGGACTGTATGAAATTGGGCCGATTTCGCTTATTTTTATTTTAAACGAAGAAGGGATTTTCTTCATAAAATGTTTGTTATAAATGTCTTAATTTTAAGTGTGAAATTTTATTCGCAAACTTAGAAAATAAGAAATTGTATCACTGTTAAAACACTTAAGATGCGTTTGTGTTTGGATATAGTGCCAACAAACAGAATAAATATTACATGTAGATATTGTGTTCTCAGATAGTCAATTCTGCCTAAATTAAAAAACATAATTTTTGCCCACTCCCAAAGGTTTAAGGTAATGGAAAAATTGATATTTTCAAGCACTATGTACACATATGTATTTTTTTAAACAAACGTTTTTGCTGAGAACTTATTTAAATTCCAAAAACCGAATGCCAACTTGATTAAAGGAACCAACACTGAAGTGAGTCAAAATTAAAATAAAAGAGCACAAATTTCTATGTAAAGCAAAACTCTCTGGGAATCCTACGAGACAGCTGCCGGTCATATGACCGGTCATCTAAATGGGAGATCTGCAGTCTTTTGGAATCATATTTTACATCAGAATTGAAGGGATTTCTGAAAAATCTGACCAGTTCTTTTGTGTAACTGTGATTTTGCATCCCTTGTCAACATATGGCCTCGGTTGATGTTAACTTAAGGTCGTTGTTTTACTGCCTTAAAATTGAAGGGAAATTTTTACAGCGTTTTTTATGTTTATTGGTTTCTATTTGAGTGTATTGAAAATCGGTCAGTCTGAAAAGGCCTTGTAGGGAAGACAATAGGTTTGTTCGTCGAAAATCCAGCGAGAATTATTACTTAAAATATCAGATAGTAAGAAAAAATGCTCCCAAATTCTCTCTCATGTAGAGATCTTGCAATTTTCTGTACGAACGCAAATTTGCAAGTTTTTCTGCCAGCTAGTGTCCACGGTTGCATTTCAAACAAAAGAAATTTGTATAGAATTTTTAAAATTCTTTCAGAGGGGCAAAAAACAGGATCTACGTGTATATATCTTGTCAGGCCGACTTTCTT